TTCTAGTACAGCCAACTCATAGAATGCTTGACTGTATTATCATAGGAGTCTGCAGTTTTATCAATAAAGCACAACAAAATTTCTTACTATTTTTTAATACCGTTAAGGAGATTTCATGTAGTCAGAAATTTCGTCGTGTTTTATTGATAAAACTGCAGACTCCTGTGCTATTATTAACAATGCCAGCGTGTACAGTGTCTCAAATGACGTCGCATCCGGTAACTGTTCAGGGAGAGGGATGTGCGTTAGTTTATTCAAGACGGATCGGGAGAGATGATCGGTTTTTCAGAAAGGTACAAATTTTCAGAAAATGAAACTTATATATATATATATATATATATATATATGTATATATATATATATATATATATATATATATATATATATATATATATATATATATTTGTGTGTGTGTGTGTATATATATATATGTTTTTATATATATATATGTTTATATATATATATATATATATATATATATATATATATATATATATATATATATATATATATATATATATATATATATATATATATATATATATATATAAAGAAAATTATATACGGAGTTTGCGCGAATTTAAGTTTTGCATGTTTGTCCTCTTTAAATGCTTCAAAATTTACTGCATTGAGTAAAACTTATTTTTGAAAGTAATGGAAGCGATCGCTTAATTGTGTTATGAGTCTATGCTCATAAAATAAGAAACAGAAAAGAGTGAAGACAAACAAGGTTTGTAAATTTTAACAAATAATTTATTTTCCTAGAATACAAAGTGAAAAATGAGAAATAAGAACTTACGGTATTGCGAATTAATTCCAAAAATAATCAAAGAATTAAAGACACAAGTCCTGGTAATAAAAAGTCCAGAATAAAACTCTTTCAAGTCCCGAAGAGATTTAAAATGGTGTTATGGCTTGCGTCGTACTGATGTGTCAACAGTCTCTAGCTGAATAACAGAAATATTCCAGGTTCGAATTCAGTGTAAATTCCAATAAATGCCTTTATCTAAGAATTTGTCAGAGCACTTTTGTATTTCCAGAAAATGTAATCACTTAAATTCAGTAATTTGACAAAAATAGAATTCATTTCGAACTGGACACAACATAATACATCTGAAAGTGTCAGATGTTAAAGCAGAACTGGTAAAATTCTCAGTCAGAAGATTATATAGTTCTTCGTTTTACCTCAGGTCACAAATTGGACATTTTCTCGAAACAACCATTACCTAATGGAAAATAACTTTCTAGCATAATTTAACGAGCCTTCTTTTTTTTTTTAAACATAATACCTTATAAGATTCACTTTGGAATCTCCAAAACCTTGACCCAGATCAACATGTGTACCTAATAATAATTTGGTCAATGAGCTCATACCCATAGAGAATAATGAAGCTAATATAAGTTGTTTACACATCGAAATAAAAAAAAATGAAAGAAAGTCAATAATGTCAAGCAGATGTGAATTCAGTTTTGCACAAAATCAAGTCCAAAAACAATGTTACTTTGTAGCTTGTCATGAAATAAAAAATTTAAAACCAATAGTCAAACAATTAAATTAAATATACATAACAATTGTTCAGATGTTTTTTGTATGAAATAATCAATGATAAGATTTGAGGTACGTGAGTTTCCATTATGTTTGAATAGAATCTTTAATTGGGGTATATTATACATAGTTTTAACATTATCCAAAATAATGCTCTGCATCTCCTTTTACCAGAAAGAAAGGAAAAGAAAAGATTATTTCTTTTACGTATCAGAAGTATTTATCTCAATTCCATTATTGCAGACACTGACCGTCAACTCTACCCTTCCATCTGTAACTAAACCTCTGCTCTACCTCCTCCATTTGCATTCGAACCTCAACTCTATCTCCTTAATCTGTAATCGAACTTCCTCTCTACCTCCTCCATCTGCATAGCCTATACTTTAATGTTACTTTCAGCGGTAACGCAAATTTCAGACGAAAATACAATTAAACAATATATTTATCATTAGTATTTTTCTTAGAACATGCCTTTTTTCGATACGGGCGATACTTTTGTGTTACGGGTGATCATATTTATGCATTTAAAGTTTCTGCTCAGTAAAATTTCGGGACTTAAAAAAGGTTTTAGAAATTAAACACAATCGCAATTCAAGAAAAGGATGAAAATATTTTGACCATGGCAAATTGCATATTGCAAAAAAAACAAAACAAACAAACATAGTAGTCACCCATGTCGTCAGAAAGAAGTTGTGGGCTAATGAAAATTAAAACAGGGAGGAAAACCCGTAATCTATCATTATTTGACTTTGTCAATGACGTATGTAATTGTACGAAGAGATAACCAATGATCGTACACGTCAATGATGACCTCTCATTGTTCTTGCCAGTGTACACTTGAAGGTCAACAACTGAGTCTTTTTCTCCGTGCATTTGACCCGTATATTGAAAGCAACTCGTCTCAGGCATGCATACCAACCTACCTACCTACATAACATTAACGCATAGCAGACAGACATACAAACCTTCAGGCAGAAGGACGAATATGCGGGACATAATCAAATAGAGGAAATTACACCTGCTACATTGAAAGGCATATTTCTGAATATATTGCAAGAAAATACGAAGACTTACGATATAAAAAGTGTTACATTTCTTATAATTTTCTAGCTTCAGGTAGACTCAAAATAAGGTTTTCCTAATCCTAAACAATTTTCAGCCGCATAATATGAACATTAGATTGTTGTTATATCAATTTACTGTATATTACTGATATTACTTATTAGAATATATTTACCTGTCTATCACACAACTTCACCAGGTTTAACTTTTATTTACATGTTTGCTTTTGATCATTATTAAGCACGATTTAAGTTTTGCAATAATTTGTCGTGAATCAATTTTTTTCACTATTTTAGGATCACAATTAAAATTGAAATTGTTCAACACACACACACACACACACACACACACACATATATATATATATATATATATATATATATATATATATATATATTATGAAATAGAGTATATTTTAATTTTTTTTTAAATTTAGATATGACATGCATAGTTCTGTGCAAAACACGATATGGGCGAAAAGGTGGACTAAAATTCTGGGCGAGGCTCGAATAATTGAAATTTAATTCAAGACATGAAAAGAGATGTCAGACATATAATAGTTAATTCAAGCTATTGCGAGGCACATTGAAAGGAATGTTTGAACACAGAATAGATACCCGTGTTAAAATATGTACATTAGCATAGGTACAGAATTAAGTGAAAAGGGTTTACTGTCAAGTAATTAGTTTTTCAAGCGGTCATAAATTGAAATTGACATTTCAGTCTGATTTTGGTAGTTTACATTAATTTTCAGTGTTTGTCAATGAAATATTAACCATCAAATCCGATAATGATCAGTTCATTTTAACGAGGTAAGTACATACCTGCAAGTTGATACAACGGATTAAATCAGTACCAGCATTCTAGCAACCGTAAATATGTATAGATAGACAACTCCTCCTTTTCATAATTCATGTCTTGTTTCTTAGAGCTGGAATGTGTATTGGCAACTGCTGCACATGTTTTTTTTTTATCAGTAGAGTTTAAAATTCGACTAAGTAATATTTTAGAGTGAAGTACGTATTAGTGATTGTGTTTAAAGGTTCTTATTTAACGCAATCAGCACAAATTCTTGATTAGGATATAAATATTCAGAAAACACATATTACCTTGAACTTAGCTCACTTGTATTTTCAGCTGTGCCTGGAAACAGGCTGTAAATAGTTTCTTTTCTGTCTTTCTTTCCGCATATAAGTACGTACTCTACTTATAACGTTCGTGCGTCTTTATGTCAGCGAATCGTAACTATAAATAGCTCTTTTCGTTGTCCAGTTCGCATATTGTAGTAGCAACTTTTTGATGTGTTTATACCTCCAATAGATTTAGCTGTGACTCTTTAGTGTTTCTTTGTATACTATCATTATTTGGGACATTTATTTCACAGTCTGTGAGAGAGAGAGAGAGAGAGAGAGAGAGAGAGAGAGAGAGAGAGAGAGAGAGAGAGAGAGAGAGAGAGAGAGAGAGAGAGAGAGAGAGAGAGAGAGAGAGAGAGAGAGAGAGAGAGAATAGAGGAAAATGCAAGTCTTTATATTTGCATATTTCTATTGCTTAAAAGTCTAGTACTATTCGATAATAGTTATATATACATTCATTCATATTTACATGTCAATTATTCGTTAAAGAATAAGACAGATTCAAAATGTAAGCATGACGTCATCTTGTTTATGTAACTAGGCCTAACCAGAGGGGCAAGAGGTCACATGGCCCGGACCTTAACTCCAAAGGGGCCTCAAGAAGTATTTTTAGATAAAGAGCGCTGAAAATAATTCCTTATGTACATGGTTGTCTTTTAAATATTTGTACATTAAACTATATTGGTGGTTTGGCATTATATTTATTTCCAAATTTCAGTATAACCATGACATAGGGGCCGCAAACTCTTGAAGTGTCCAGGGTCTCTCTCAGCCAATGGAGAAACCTGTATTTAGTTAGTTATTAAACTCTTGTTCCAATACACAAATTACCCTACCCCAAACAAGAGTGATATAATTTTCATTTAGCATTTTACTGCATAGGAAATTTTGAATATGCTAAGAAAACGCCTTGGAAAACACTATGCACTTGTGTACATAATGCAAGATACATACACTGAAAGTACGTATGTCACAGAACAGAATAGCTAAGATTAAGTAACGGCAGATACATGTGTCTGTATGTGATTTGGATTTTTTTTTAACGTAGCTTTAACAATTTTTCAGTCATATCGCTACGATGTCTGCAGTTTAGCAGTTTATAGTGATGTCTAGCACTGGGGCATCATGCCGAAAAAATGGAGCGTGATCCCCCCCCCTCACAATACCCTGCCACAAGGCCGACCAGTTCTATCACTAACTTCCTAATGCTGAGCGTCCAGCGAGGCAGCTGTTAGTACAATTTTTATAAGTCTTTGGCATCACTCGGTTGGAGATCGTACCCACGACCTCCCGCATCCGAGGCAGACACTTTAACCACTACGCCACCAGAGCGGTCTAAGATACAGGTAAACACTGAGAACACAGGAATTAAAATAAACCATAGCTACGACCAGCCCACATAATGAAAGTAACTAAAAGCTATAAACAAAACTGAACTAAAATCTAAAATGGTACGATGTAATTTCTTGAGATGGTACGATGTAGATTCTTGAGATTGTTCTTGAGAGGTTAGACTATAATTTTAACAGTATCAGTAATTACATCATATCAAGAACATTATACTTGTCACAGAGATAATGTGACTAATAAAAATCTCATATGGAGGTAGTTGGGGTGAACATCTATCTAAACCTAAGTGCAAGCAACACAAACAACTAAAGCTACAATGAAATACACAACAGTAAAAGCTACGAATATACAACACTAAATTTACAATCAAATATACAACACTAAAATCTACGAATATACAACACTAAAATCTACAATCAAATATACAACACTAAAAGCTACAATCAAATATACAGCACTAAAAGCTACAATGAAATATACAACACTAAAAGCTACAATGAAATATACAACACTAAAATCTACAATCAAATATACAACACTAAAAGCTACAATCAAATATACAACACTAAAATCTACAATCAAATATACAACACTAAAATCTACAATCAAATATACAAAACTAAAAGCTACAATCAAATATACAACACTAAAATCTACAATCAAATATACAACACTAAAATCTTCACTCAAATATACAACACTAAAAGCTACAATCAAATATACAACACTAAAAGCTACAATCAAATATACAACACTAAAATCTACAATCAAATACACAATACTAAAATCTACAATCAAATATGCAACACTAAAAGCTACAATCAAATATACAACACTAAAAGCTACAATCAAATATGCAACACTAAAAGCTACAATCAAATATACAACATTAAATCTACAATCAGATATAAAACACTAAAACCGACAATAAAATATACAACACTAATATCTACAATCAAATACACAATACTAAAATCTACACTAAGATATACGACACTAAAAGCTACAGTCAAGTATACAACACTAAAATCTACAATCAAATATACAACAAAATCAAAACACAAAGTACGTAGTAGATTAAGGTAGCAGCAACAACTTCTTGGCTTACGTTTATATATGGATCAATCACAAAATAATAGTTGTAGACCAAGTCTTCAAGATGGACAAAACATTGTTAAAATCTGAGATTACTGGATAATGATTATTAGAGACAGAATAATTCCGATGTTAAGCCTTTTGTATACATTATACACTGTATCCTGATGTCCTACCGCTCCGTCGCCTAAGTGGTTAGAGCGTCTGCCTCGTTGTTTGAGGTTTCGGGTTCGTACCAAAGACTTAAGTTTTAAAAAAAATATCTGATCCTTTTTATTATCCACTTTTTGTCATGATACTAACAGCTGCCTCGCTTGGCGCTCAACATTAAGAGGCTGGTTTGACTGGTTGGCCTGGCGTCAGCATAAGGTGACTGGGTGAGGCATGATGTTACATGTCTGCGCCTTGATGACCTAGGACTAGTTATCATTAAACTGCCACACTGCAGACATTGTAGCGATATGACTGAAAAATTATTAAAGCTACGTTAAAAATTTAAATCGACACATACACACACACACACACACTTACATTCATAGTCTACTTGTTTCATACTTTAAAACTACCAGATCAGTTTAATATATTGGACATTACTCAAAGTTTCAAAACTTTAAGTGTATTCGGGCGTAAGGAGTTAAAAACATGTCAAATTATCCTAGCGATCAGAGTTAATCTTCTTGAATTCAATATAAACAAATCTTAGCGCTATTATATGAGTTTTATTTCGATTTTGTTCATATTAGAAGACAATAGTTTGTCATGATGAAAAATTATACATTGCAAACCATCTCAGTTTTAAGGTATTTTCCAATTCGTTTGTACACATTTAATTCTTTGGATGCTTTTTACAAATCTAATTGATTTAATCATTAAAGTTTATAATGAAGTTCAAAAAGACTCACAGGCTGTACAACCGAATCTTCGAAACATATTATGGTCTTCAAGGTGCAGAAGGTCTCACTTCTCACTTCCTTGGTTAGATATTTTCATAATATTAAAGTTTTATTGAGTATATTTTAGTACGTTGATATCGCATGGATCTGAATCATTGATGAAAAAGATGTTAATATAAAAAAGTTATAAACTATGGATTTCAGAATTGTTTCCTTATCTACCGCATTGTATCTAATGATAACTCATTGAGTTTCCTTTTTTGACCCATTGCTTTCTGCTTGAGGTGTAATCTGCCATAGTATTTACTGTCGAATCTGAAAGTCCATACGTTTCTGGAGGAGGAGACGGTTGTGTAGATAGTCCAGAATTTTATATAAATAAACCAATAAAAATATCTGCAACATATTTGTTTTGGTCTAGGGGTTAAGTACAAGCCCTCTAGCAGCCATTTTGACAACTGACCCCTATCCGAAAGCAAAAGGTGCAGATTTAATACATTATCGAAGAGATTAACTCAGTCTAAGGAATTTTGATATATCAATGGCAGGACAATATATTCTGACAACACGGGCTTCCTTGAGTCTGGTTGGACAAATGTTTTGATCATGGTTGTAGTGTATGGGCTTGCTTATACGAATTGCCAGTGATTGATTTTCAAGTTCGGGATGTGCTATGTAAACTAAATTAAACTACTGTTTATTTATATTTAGATATGATGCTATAATTAGAAATAAGAAGGTTATTAATAGCCTCATCTGTGCAGGTAATAGGCTTCTAGGTTTGACCTACACCTGATTTCAGGCGCCACCGAATTTTCAAAGAGGTGGAAGTTAAGCGATTCAAACAGGACGTCCTTTTGTGTGTGTCTATATATATATATATATATATATATATATATATATATATATATATATATATATATATATATATATATATATATATATATATATATATATATATATATATATATATATAATATCACTTTATCAATATTTACAAAGTGTATGGAGCACCCTCTAATTTTAAATTATAACATAATTTATTCGGTTTCTCGCTCGTGACTTTTCTGTTAAAGGAAAGACAGAGTAAAGATTAACTAAGAAACGAAACATGATTCTCTACTTCGAATTGTACTTGATAAATTGTTGTCGAACTAAGTCCTGGTTACCAAGTACTCTTAGAATAAATTTACTGTATGTATCCAACGATAAGCACATCCTTCGAGATAACCATAACCCCATTTTATAATCCAACATGTGGCATATACATATTAAGGTTATATTTGTGTTTGATAGGCTGTCCTTCACGCCTTTTTATTTTTATTTTTGTGAAAATTATTGTTCTGATCCTTGGACATATCATTTGAGATATGTTGTAGAGCGGGCAAACGTGCAATTAGAATCGTGGTGTCTACTTTTTCCCGTAGACGGCTAACAGCATCGACCCAGATCTGCATACATACATACATACATACATACATACATACATACATACATACATACATACATACATACATACATACATACCTACCTACCTACCTACCTACCTACCTACCTACCTACCTACCTACCTACCTACCTACCTACCTACCTACCTACATACATACATACATACATACATACATACATACATACATACATACATACATACATACATACATACATACACGCGTGCGTGCGTGCGTGCATGCATGCATGCATGCATGCATGCATACATACATGCATACATACATTGCTGTCATTTCCTCACAACGTCAATCTGTATACGATCGTATATCTAAGTTTATAATTTTCGTGTTAAAGTACGCGTTATATATCAAGTCTGTTTATGTTGTCATGTGTAGAAAACACGATCCAAGTATGTATGTTTTCGTTGTCATGTTTAGAACGCATTCTACAACAAGTATGCTTGTTTTCATGTGTAAAACAAGAGAGTATATCTTTTAAGGCTTTTAAAGGGATATGCCACGAGTAAAGCAGCAAAATAGCATTAGCCTGTAGACTTGAAATGCTGAATTAGTGTACTAAAATTATCGGTCTTGTAAGGTAAAATCATTGTCCATTTTTGTGTCCAGGAATCCCAGAGACCCTTCTGCCACTCAATTTCATGTAATGAACAATCACAGCCATGTTGACATAATAAACGTATAATAAATGTATTCTTTGCTTAAAATGTACATGTCCAATTTTACTGGTTTTAAATATTTCATCTATAAATCTTTCCCTACTGGTGTCGATTGTCTCAGACAAACACAGGTTTTGTGCGATGAAAGGTGTCATTGGAATCAAGGAGTGCTATGTCCTCGCGAGCTCAGCTGCAACTGGACTTCACAAACCCGGTACTTATCAGCAAGAGCTGACACAGTTGGACATTTCTTTCCTTTCACTCTTCTTAACAATTTTTCATATCAAGCCAATAGCAGTTAACTTACGTGCGTGTTTTGGAATTAGAATCACTCTCCACTTCATGTAATTGTATCAGCCCCAGATGTGTCATTCAAAGTAGCCAATCAAAAATTGTTGAGCTTAGCGCATGTTTTGAATTAAGTCTTGTCTGGAAAATGTGTCTAGAAGAAGCTTCAATAAATATGTTAAAATAAATTTAGAATATGACAGAAAGTTTGATTTAAATTTTATCCGTTTCGACGTTTAGCGGAGTCATACTGATGGAGTAGTGTAATGGATTTTTTTAGGTGACTAAAACAAGCTCTGGTTTTACAAGATATCTCAAATTATTTTCATGATATGTAGTTTTATCGATATCTTTCTTATCATGATATACTGCATTCTTCTAATAGAGTCTTGTTGTATTTCTGAGAAAAATGCACTATTTGTTTTCTTCTTCAGGAATGAAGCATCCTTCAACTTGTTTTTAAAGAATAAATGGACTCCCATGTATACAGTTTTGTTTTTTTAACATTGTACTGTATCTCTCTCCCAGAAAATCTAAATATTGTCAAAAATTATTTAAGGAAAAGATGTAAAATTTTAGCAT